AGACTGCTTTTGCAAGGTGTGTTGGAGCAGGAGCCACTTTGAAGGGACACCTGCCAAGTCGGATAGGTTGGATGGGGTGGACATTCAGGAGAGTGTGGAGGCAGAACATGGAGTGTTAGCAAGATATATGGATTGTCTTCATGCTGGTTCCCACAAGTTTCAGCTGTCTAGGCTGGTGGGGGTGCGGAGGTGGGGGTTAGAGAAATGATGACTGCCAGCTCTTTTTTTCTTGGAGAAGTCTCCTAAAGATCCTCCCTGCCCTTCCAGTGTACATTCTGAGATTAGTAAATAAATCTATACCTCAGTAAATATCTGCTGTATACCTCAGGCACTTTCCAAACTACTGCTTCTATACTGTATTGTGGCTGGGTTATTTATTATGCTGGCCCTTTAAGAGTGGGGATTCAGTTTCCTGTTGCCCTATGGCCCTCCTGGAGCTGAGCCCACTGATTTTTATAGTATTCAAGGTTAACTGCTGATTGTAAAAACTCATGAAATTGAGCCCCATTGGGTTTTAGAGCCAAATGTCCTGGGTACTCATCTTCCCAGTTTGGGTTGCCCATATCTGGGGTGCCTGGTGTGGAGTCTGATGCTCTTGCTTCTCCATGCTTATAGTGTCCCTCCTGTTTCTGATTAATCTTGCCAAAATGTTTGGTTCCCAACTATGTTTCTGCCCTTCCTACCTTTTTTGATGTGGCTTCCTCTCTGTGATTAATTGTGGAAAGTCTGTTCTGTCAGTTTTGGGTCATCTTCTGTGTTAGTTGCATTCGTGTGACTGTTCGTTCTCTCTGTGTGGGATGCAGTGAACTTAGGATCCTCTAATTCTGCCATTATCTCAGAACTCTCTATCTATTTATGTTGTGTATCCATTGCCAAATTATTGTATAACTATTTTTAATAATTTTGTCCTTTCACTTTTATATTAAAGTTAAGTGACTAACACACCACCTTGTTATGATATTAACTTAATTCAGAATCTCATTATATATTTACCTTTACTCTAGTTTGTTATATGTTTTCATGTTTTCCTTTACTATAGACCTTTAATATCAGCTTGAAGAACTCCTTTCAGCATTTCTTATGAGGCAAGTCTAGTGGTGATAAATCCCCTCAACTTTAATTTGTTTGGGAAAGTCCTTATCTTGCCTTCACTTCTAAAGGACAGATTTACTGGTAAAGTGTTCTTGCTTGGCAGTTTTTTCTTTTAGCACTTTAAATACATCATCTCATGCTCTTCTGACCTGTAATGTTTCTGCTGAGAAACATTCACCTAATGTTCTCACCTAATGAGAAACTCTTCACCTAAATGAGATTCCTTTGTATGAGAGGAATTTTTTTCTCCTGCTGTTTTAAAAATTCTCTTTTTGTCTTTGGCTTTAGACAATCTTATTATAATGTTGTGGAGGAGATCATTTTAGATTGAAATGTTGGGGGAACAACTTTATGAACTTGAATGATTTTTTTAAAGATTTTATTTATTTATTCATGAGCGACACACAGACAGAGGCAGAGTCATAGACAGAGAGAGAGAGAAGCAGGCTTCTTGTAGGGAGTCTGTTGTGGGACTTGATCCTGAGACTCCAGGATCACACCCTGAGCTAAAGGCAGACACTCAATCAGTGAGTCACGCAGGCATCCCTATGACTTGAATATTTAATCTTTCCCTAGGTTTGGGAAGTTCTCAGCCATGTTATCTTTAAGTTTCTCCTTCTCTTCTCTTTATGGGATCCTAGTGATACATAGACTGTTTCTCTTAACGGTATCCCATAAGCCTCACAAGTTTTGGTCTTTCCTTTTTATTTATTTATTTAATTTTCTGAACTGAGTATTTGCAAATATTCTGCCTTTGAGTTTGCTGATTTTTTCTTCTGTTTGGTCCAGTCTGCTGTTGGAGCTCTCTTGTAAATTCTTCAGTGTAGTCATTATATTCCTTAGCTTGAAAATTTCTGGATTGTTGTTTTCTTTTTACGTATTCTATCTTTAAATTTCTCATTTTGTTCTTCTATTTTTCTGATTTCATTAAATTGTTGATCTTTTTTCTCTTGTAGCTCTTTGGTCATCTTTAGAACCATATTTTGGATTCCTTTTTAGGATATTTATCTCCATTTGGGGGGACCCATTACAGGAATTTACTATGTTCCTTTGGTAATATAAGGATTCCCTGATTCTTCATGTTCCCTTTGGCCTCACATAAGTATCTACATATTTAAAGAAGGAGTCGCCTCTTCCAAACTTTGGGAGATAGACTTTGCTAAGAAAAGTCACCTGTGGGTAGAGCATGCTATGACCCCAGGTTTTGTGATGTAGGGCACCTCAGGAGCATGTGGAATCTTTGGGTTCAGGGAGGCATGATGTCTCATTAGCTCAGGTCACTGGGGTCCATAACATCAACAACTGTGTGGTATTTGGCAAGCACTGTGTGTCCACAGTGACTACAAGGGCTGTTAGGGTTCTCAGCAGCTCCTCCAGGTCCAGTGACTAGAGACCAGAGCAGGAAGTGATAGTGGCCCAAGACAGTGATGTGCACATACTCAGCTGTGGGGGCCTGCCATAGTTTTCTGTGAACTGTTTCAGACACACACATAATGTTGAGGGCAAGGGCCTGGTTGAATAGGCAAACTGGCAGTTGTAGGAACCCTGACTATTTATGTGCTCTCTTGTGGCTCTGGTGTCTCACTACAGATGTAGGCACAGCAGTGGAGGCAAGTGATAGTAGACAGTGCCAGATCTAGGCTCATAAATAGCTTTGAGAGCCTTGGCCATTGGGATCCATTCCCATAGCTGTAGGGTCTTGTCACAGACATGCCCATGGTAGCAGAACAAATAATGGGAATTGGGATAGGGAGCTTATAGGGACACATTTGGAGAAGCTAGCTCCAAGTACCCACAAGGGAGTGGAGGTCAGCTGTGGGGTTCTAGGCTGCATCTTACACTTGCACAGCTTAGAGGCATGGGGCTAGCTGCCTGTGTGGATCCCATTCTCTGGCAGTGGTGAGGGTAGGGGAGTGAGAAGGGATGCAGACAGCTGGCATATGCAAGTGCAAAAATTTGTGGGGTAAAAACCAGTGAAGTCTGCAGAGGTCCTTGGTGGCTGTACTGATCACTGATTTCTTCTGTGGTGGAAGTTTCCAGGTCCTCTGCAGAGAGCAGGTCACTGGAAACACTGGTTGCTCCCATTGTGTGGCTGACGCTGGTGGCCCATTCCCTTCTTCCATGCTTCTAGTCATCTCTATACATCTCAGCTCTGCCAGTCCTTGGGTGGGATGAAACCAAACAGGTCCTTCATGCAGTACCCAGAAAGGCTGAGGAAGCTGGTCACTCTCTCTGCTCTCCTTTTCCTGGGGAGGGGAACTCTAGTTGGTGAGTTCCCTCTTGGCACTGAGCAGTGCCAGCTCAGTGGATAGGGTGATAAGGAAAAAATGAAGCATTCTTTCTTCCTTTTTTGTGCAGTTGTTCTCAGGTTTTTGTTCCACTATGTTAAAGTTTCTTAAGTGGACTCTTGAGTGTTTCCAGAACTGTTTCTGTTTGTAGATAGCTGTCTAATTATTGATCTTTGTAGGGGCATGAAGGTTGGCTTCTACTGCACCATCTTGGTGACATCAGCCTTTTTTATTTCTGTAATTAATTATCCTTTCTCAGTTTTTTATTTGCCTTTTTATGATCTATCCTTAACTTTAATGTCAGCTCCATTCAGGTTTCTTTCCTTGGCCCTCTTCTCACTCTACACTTCAGTCTGTACACCACGTCAAGAAAGCTATGCAAACTGATAAAAGATCCAGCAGACTGTTGCTAATTTTCCATGGGAATCATATTGTTACTTTAACATAAACCAAGTCGATTTCTCTACCAGGTTACTTTTTATAAGCTTTTGAGTAATTAAAATTAAATAAAGTCTTTCACGTATTATCAGTACATTTCTCCTTTTACCTTTAAATTTTCCTTCCCAGATAGACAGGTAACTCAGTGACCCACTTCTGTTCTTATTTCCTGTACCTCTGATAAGTAGCATAACCCAGGGCAGACATACCAGCCCTGGAGCGATGGATCTTTTTGATCAACCTAGTCCTTTGTGAACTCTTAACACATTTGCCTATCAAGATTTACAGTACTTATATTATTTCTAAAATCAGACTGATCATATGAAATATTATTTTCATTATATGGTCTCAGAAACTCACTGCACACATATTTACTGATTCCCAAAATATCTTCGTTTGTTTTATACATAACAGTGTACTGGGCATTGTGCAGCAATCAGCAAATAAGAGAACATAGTTCTGAGGCACTGAATTTTAGAGATTATATGATAAGGAAAATATAGATATCTTTAAATGAAAAAAAAATCACTTTCCAAAAAACACGCAACCTAACATATAAATGAATGTTGTCCCTTTCAGAAAATTTACATTGAAAGGCTGATTAATAAAGGATTTGCAGTGCTAATTGATTAACCCGTTTTTGACATAAATTACAGCAGGTAAACACTACAGGTTTTCTTAGGCAAAATGATCATGTCACATTTTAAAGATTACTCATACAACTTTGCCTATGTAAAATTGTAGTATTGTTAAGGCAGCATGCAGATTCGAGATTCTCAGTCTTTTTTTTTTTTAAAGATATTATTTATTTATTCATGAGAGACACAGAAAGAGAGACAGAGACACAGACAGAGGGAGGAGAAGCAGGCTCCATGCAAGAAGCCTGATGTGGGATTCAATCCTGGGAATCCGGGATCAGGCCCTGTGCAAAGGTAGGCGCTCAACCGCTGAGCCACCCAGGCGTCCCAAGACTCTCAGTCTTTTGACACATAATGGCATGTGAGAATCAATAGTTATGTTTAATCATAGACATATGTAGCTTTTTTAAACATTTGGTATTTGTTTATGTATCTGTAATAGAATATATTGAAGGATTTAGAAACATGTATATTGAAAGTAGAATATTCAAACTAATATTTAGTGTGCTGTTTACTAAAATATGATTCCTCTTTTTCCCAACAGAAATTTATTTCACAATTTAACCCAGGTAAAACATTTTTTAAAATTTTATATATCCTTCATATATCACTACTATATTATTTCCTTCTAATCTGTCATGTTTTCTAGAAGGAGAATTTTCCAAACTAATTTTTCAGCAAAATTTGCTTAGAGTACAATGATACTTCAGATATATTCGAGAGCTCCACAGACCTTTTCCGGAAGTTCATGAGGTCTATCGTTTTCCAACTATATATCTATGTGAGGATAGATTTTCTCCACCAAAACAACGTGCTTCCTTCCACCAAAACAACATATACCGATAGCTTGAATATAGGAGGACAGATGATAATTCAGTTGTTTTATATTAAGACAGATATTAAAGACATTTTGTAATGTAAAAATGTAAAACAACCATTTTTCTCATTTTTTTTGTCTTGGAAAACAATTATTTTTAATTTTTTTTCATAAAAATATATATCATGTTAACATTTATGGGTTTACTATAGTTTTCAAAATAAATTAATAAATATCTTCAAATTTCTCAGTTTTAATTTGTCTCATGGTAAATATTGCTAGATCTAACCCACCTAAAGCAAAAGCTCTGTGAGCTTCTCAATAATTTTTAAGGCAACGAAGGGATCTTGAGAGAAAAAGGTTATAATGTCTGGTCCAGAGAATCTTTAATTATAGGAGATGAACTGAGGATTGCTGGAGGGGAAGTGGGGGGATGGGGTAATTGGGTGATAGGCATCAGGAAGGGCATGTGATGTGATGAGCACTGGGTGTTATCTGCAACTGATGAATTATTGAACTCACCATCTAAAACTAATGATGTACTATATGTTGGCTAATTGAATTTAAAACAAAAACAAAAACATCTGGTCCAAGGATGGAAGATGGCCATGGAGTAGGAGGATCCTAGGCTTGCCTCTTTCCATGAATACAACTGGATACTATCAAATTATCCTAAATACACCAAAAATTGACCTGAAGACTGTCATAATAAACTCCACAACTACAGGTAGAAGAGAGGCCACATTGAAGAAGATAGGAAGTGCAGAGATGCAATTTGGGAAAGAATAGATCAGGGAGGGAGCCATGGTTCCAGAGAAGGGTGAGAAATAGACTAACACACAGGGGAGCACACAAGAAAAATGAATCCCCATACCATTTGGCTCAGAAAGTGAAAGGGGCTGAATTTTATGAGTTCTTGCTACCAGTGGGACTTAAAGTCTAGAGCTTTAAAGGTTGGTGGGCTTGACTGGGATAGAGCCCAGAGGGTACTGCACTGCTCTTGGGGAGAAGTCAAGCAAACAACTAGCAGACATACAGCATGGAAACAGTGATTAGGAAGATTGCCTACAGCACACACTGGAAAGATTATTCCCTCATTTGTGAGTGAGTCCTAGAGAGGCTGCATTCATGGAGAGATACCTCTGGGAATAAAGGAATTGGCCAGAACCATTTCCCTCCTCTGACCTTCAGCATAAGCACAGGGCTACCTGTGGGAAATCAGTGCAGTGCCAATATTTGCTAACTAACTTATGTATATCAAACTTCACACACACACACACACACACACACACATACTCCAGTGGAACCATCCATCTGAAACTGATGTATGCAACTGATGAATTATTGAACTCTATATCTGAAACTAATGATGTACTATATGTTGGCTAATTGAATTTAATTAAAAACAAGAACAAAAACATCTTGCTCAGTCCCAGTGCAGCAGGCCAGCTCCCCCAGAAGACCAGCTCAAACCCCTGCTCTCACCATGCATTCCATTGTGGGAGTTTTGCAGGGCCTCTGTTCTGCCAGCAGTGGTAACAGGTCTCATTTCATAAACAGACCAAAGCACACCTAGTTAAACATACCACATTAAGGTCAGGGACCAAACACTGCCTACCACAGGCAAAGAAAGACTCTGCAGATAATTGGCTTGAAAGATAAAGCAGTCAGAATGAAACAGCAGAGAATATGCAGCATACATTGAAGACATTCCCAGAAGCGCCAAGCCCTGGGGAATAGGAGACATTACATAGCAGAGCACTTCAGGACCTCTTCTTTGTAAGGCCATTTCCCTTAGAACAAGAGACATAGCTCTAATGTTTCTAACACAGAGAAACAGGCACAGAGATGTAGACAAAATGAGAAGACAGAGAAATTTATCCCAAATGAAAGAACAGGACAAGGCCACAGCCAGAGATTTAAGTGAAACATATAAGTAACATGCCTTGGTAGAGAATTTAAAGCATTGATCATAAGGATACTCGACCTGAGAAGAGTAAAAGACAAGAGTGAGACCCTTAACACAGGGATAAGGAATAACATAGCAGAGATAAAGGGCACAATAAAGAAAATGAGAAATATGCCTCATGGAATGAATAGAGGTTAGAAGAAGGAGAGGAATGAATTGACAACCCAGAAGACAGAATGATGGAAAGTAATCAAGCTGAACATAAGAGATTAAAAAAAGAATTATGCAAAACAAGAATAGAATTAGGGAACTCAGAGACTCCATAAAGCATGATAACATTTGTATTATAGGAGTCCCAGGAGAAGAAGGGAGAGAAAAGTGGTCAGAAAATTTATTTGAAGAAATAAGAGCTGAAAACTTCCCTAATCTGGGGAAGGAAACAGATATCCAGGTCCAAGAGACACAGAAAACCCATATCAAACAAAATCAGACACACACCAAGACATATTGTAATTAAGTTGGTGAAATATAGTGGTAAAGAAAAAAATTTTGAAGCAGCAAGACAAAATAAGTCAGTAACTTACCAGGGAAAACCCATAAGGCTAGCAGAAGATTTTTCAGCAGAAGTATTCCAAGCCAGAAGGGAGTAGTATGATATACTCAAAGTGCTGAATGGGAAAAATCTGCACCTGAGAATACTCTATCCAGCAAGGCTATCATTCAGAAAAGGTGGAGAGACAAAGAGTTTCCCAAACAAAACCTAAAGGAGTTCATGACCACTAAACCAGCCCTGCAAGAAATATTGAAGGGAACACTTTGAGTAGAAAGGAAAGACCAAAGTGAGAGTATAAAGGTAGGAAATACAAAAGCAATAAAAATAAATATTTCTGTAGAAAACCAGTCAAGGAATTCACAAAATAAAAATATGTGAAATATAACAACATATATCTAAAATGTGGGGAGGAGGAGAGTAAAGAATGGGTTCAAATTTTTCATGACCATGAACTTAATATAGACTGTAATATGAAGAAAAGGTTATAGACAAACCTACCGGTAACCTCAAATAAAAAACCACTAAAAAATATGCAAAGAATAAAGAGAAAGAAATCCAAACATATCACTAAAGAAAATCAGCAAACCATGAAAAAGAAAAGGAAAGGATCAGAGAAAATCTTCAGAAACAAAAACAAAGTAGATAATAAATTGACAATAAGCAAATATCTATCAATAATTATTTTGAATGTAAATGGACTAAATGCTTCAATGTAAAGACATAGGGTGACAGAATATGTAAAAAAACAAATGCCTATCTACATGCTGCCTACAAAAGACTCACTTCAGACCTAAATATAACTAGCGATACTTATATTGGACAAAATAGACTTTAAAACAAAGAGTGTAACAAGAGACAAAGAAGGATACTTCATAATAATAAAGAGGACAACCCAAGAAGATAATATTAACAATTGTAAATATGTATACACCCAACACAGGAGCACCCAAATACATAAAACCATTAATAAAAAACATAAAGGAACAAATTGATAATACACTAGTAGTAGGAAACTTTAACACCCCACTTCTATCAATGGATAGATAGTGTAAATAGAAAATCAACAAGGTAACAATGGCTTTGAATGGTACATTGAACCAGATTGACTTAACAGATAAAATGAGTACATTCTATACTAAAATAGCAGAATACACATTCTTTTCGAGTGTACATGGAACATTCTCCAGAATAGATAACATATTAGCCCACAAACAAACCTCAACAAATTCAAGAAGATTGAAACCATACCATGCATCTTTTCTGACCACAACACTGAAACTAGAAGTCACACAGAAGGAAAAATCTGGAACGAGGTTAAATAACATGCTACTAAACATGCTGCTAAACAAGGAATGGATCAACCAGGAAATCAAAGTTGCCTTTGGCTCAGGTCATGATCCCAAGATCTTAGGATCAAGCCTCAAGTCAGGCTAACTGCTCAGTGGGGAGCCTGCTTCTCCCTCTCCCTCTGCTGCTCCCCATTTGTGCTCTCTTACACTCTCTCTCTCTGTCAAATAAAATCTTTAAAAAAATACATGGAATAAAATCTTTAAAAAAATACATGGAAATGAAAATGAAAACACAAATGGCCCAAAGCCTCTGAGATATAGCAAAAGTGGTTTTAAGAGGGAAGATTATAGCAATACAGTCCTACCTCATGAAACAAGATAAATCTCAAATAAACAAACTAACTTTGTATCTAAAGGAATTAGAAAAAGAACAACAAACAAAACCTAAAGCCTAGGGAAAGAAGGAAATAATAAAGATTAGAGCGCATAGAACTAAAAACGAAATAGAATATATAAATGAAACCAAGAACTGGTTCTTTGAAAAAAAATTAATAAAATTGATAAACCTCTAGCCAGACTTACCAAGAAAAAAGAGAAAGGACTCAAATAAATAACATCACAAACGAGAAAGGAAATAACACCCAATACCACAGAAATCAAACAATTATAAGAGAATTTTCTGAAAAACTGTATGCCAACAGACTGGACAACCTAGAAAAAAAATGGATAAATTCCTATAAACATAGAAACTACAAAAACTGTAACAGGAAGAAATAGAAGATTTGAACAGAGCAATAACTAGCAAAGAAATTGAATCAGTAACCAAAAAACTCCCCAAACACAAAAGTCCAGGACCAGATGGCTTCACAAATGAATTCTAATTTACAAACATTTAAAGAAGAGTTAATGCCCACTCTTCTCACACTATTCCAAAAAATAGAAAAGAAGGAAAAACTTCCAAATTTATTGTATGAGACCAGCATTACCCTGATACCAAAACC